GAATCGGCCGCCGGATCTGTCTGTGTCTTTGAATGGCTCAAGGACTTCCTTTTAAAAATTTGATAATGCTTGAGGACTTATATGTAAATTACAAAATTTAACTATTTTTCAATTGAGTACATGGGCTCAATTTGTAGTTTATTAAAATTTAATAAATGCATCATATTATGGAGAAAATTGCACATTATGGGTCTTACATATGCACATTATGATACTATTATAGTTTTATGTGAAACTGTTAGAATTTTAGTAATTGCACAATACCGATAAATAAACTGCACAATAGTGTGTGTATTTTAAGAATTCGTTTAACATATTCTTGTATATCTCGATCGTTTTGGTGATATTAATAAATACACCCGACATCAAATTAGAATATCCCAAATTTTAAAGGTACTAAATAGTTAATCGGATCAAAATATATAAAATTTGTACTAAAATTTTATTTCAGTTAGGGATGGATTCATATAGTGCAATCCGTCAGTCACTAATGTGCAATCATCCTAATGTAAAAGTGCACTTGAATTACAAATATTTTTTAATTAGTTGTTTCAATCCGAAATAATCCTAAAATAATGGGTTTATTTGAGTGATTAGATGATTTAATCTAAATAGTCAAAATAATTCATAATTTGTAGTATAAGACATATTTAGTATTCTAATATTTTTAGTTAATATTTATTATTATTTTTTAATGTATATATCTGCATTATATATACACATATAAGAAAAATAATGTTTTTTTTTTTAGTTCGTTCAGTTTAGTTATTTTTAAAAATAAAGTCGAACTTGAATTGAGATAACCAAAATTGAAAAAGTAAGATAGTTGATCAAAATAGACTAAGATCACACGAATTTAGTTCGTCCGAATGTTTGACCGCTAAAGTGCAATCTGACAGTTACTAATGTGCAATCCATATAACGCTAGTGTGCACTATAAGTGTAACTATTTTTTTTTTTAATGGTGCAATCCGACAATAATGTGTAATTCTTCTAACACGTAATTCATCTAACACGCAAATGCAACATATGCATTTTAAAATGTTCTTGTTCTAAATTCAGCTAAAGTGAAACTACTAAAATAAACGTGATTTAAAAAATAAAATTATATAATAGAACTGAAAATTGCAGTTGAGTCGGCTAGATCATTATGGTGCAATATGCTAGTCATTAATGTGCAATTCGTCTAACGCTATTGTGCAATTACTGCATATGCGTTATTAATGTTTTGTTCCCAAAAAAACTAAAACGAAAACGAAATAATCGGTTAGTTCGATTGGTTAAATAGATTATCCTAAATACTTTAAGTGATTTATTATTTTTATTACAAAAAAAATATATTTGATATTTTATATTAATTTTTTGTTGAAAATACATAATTGATAAAATATCGAAATTAATAATATGCATCCCCACAGTCGATAATGTGCATTCCGTATACCATTTATTGTGCAACCTATGGATCAAGTATTTTTTATTTGAAATTTTAAATTTTAAAATTATTAATAATGTGTATTTTCTAATGTGCAAATCCAAACTCAAATCGGACCGA